TATATATATATGTAAAAATAGATATATATAAGCTAATTCAAAATATTTATCAATACTATAACAGTATATAAATAACACTAAAATATCACTGTTGACATCAGAGTACCACCTCTTTAGTGAGCTCATTGTAGACTGGTGGGTACATGCTGACTTTGATGGCCTCTGGGAGAACTCTATCGGACACTCGGGCCACTGCTGTGCACATGATGATTTGAGGAGAAAACCCCACACTGACCACATCTCCTTGTGGGTGCAGAGGTTTCTTCACAAGAACTTTGTGCTTCTTCATTTCCTCATCTTCCTCCATCATTTTCTAATAAGAAACACCCATCTTTAAAGTTTGATTTCCAGGCATCATAGGTCTTGCACATAATTCTGTCTGCAGTGAGTTTATTCCTGTACCTGTAGTTTTAGCTTGAGCCTTTGGAATCTGCTGGAACTATAGCAGGTCAGGGATTCTATAAGCGAGCACAGATCTGTCTCACAGTTACCGTCATCCTCGTATTCACTCTCCTGTAATAATCTAAATACACAAATGAGTTTCAGTTCCTATTACTCTTGCACATAGACACTGTAATTGGTATGTTGTAAGGGTACTTTGTAACAGCCCAACCTCTTCAGATCCTCCCCGGGACTGGTGTGCTTCTCCAGACTGGAGGGAGGATCTGTGGACAGTGGGACTAATGGGGTTGGAGGCCGCTCAAGCAGCGTTATCTCCAGCTCCTCCAGCAGTGTCTCCCTCTGTAGGTCAGGCATGGAATGGCATCCCTGAGAGGGCAGAAGGAGAAATCATTAAGGATGATATAATGCCTACATGTAAATGTTTGAAAACTTGCAATATGGAATTTGTGCATTGGAATTGATCAAAAACTCACCTTTATTCTGACCAACGGGTTTTGACGGGGACTCTGATCCAGCTCTTGTTTCAGTATATTAGACATACTGGTTTTAGAACCTGGGCACATGCACAAATTAAAGTGTCCTGATGTCACATCCTGAATTATAACCCATCACTTTAAAGGGATAGTTCACCCAAAAAAAATATATTCTGTCATTTACTGACCCTCATGTCAATCCAAACCTGTATGACTTTCTTTCTTCTGTGAAACACAAAAAAAAAGATATTTAAAAAAAATATTGCTACTGTTTTCCACATTTCTGGGTAGTACCTCATCATATGTAATATGGATTATGTAATCAGATTCCAAAAGCTAAATATTTGTAATTAGATTATATTATGTTTTAAAATACTAATAAACAGACTAGTTACTTTTTTATTGATTACATGATTACTTAATATATACAAAATTCCACACAGCATATACAGTACAAATAAAATATTTTAATGCAAAGTTTAATGCACTTCACGCTGTTGCTAACAAAGAATAAAATACATTTCTTTATTTAGTATTTTTGTATTGTATTTTTTCTTTATTTCTTTATATTGTATTTATATAAAAGATTATCAAAGAAGATTATTCTACTCAAATCAATATGATAAACAAGTTAGGTCACAAATAATCTAAAGTTAATCAAAAACTAGTCCGATTATAATACCTAAAAGGTTCAATGTAATATATTATGTTACTAACTACAATTATTATGATGTAAATTTGTATTCAGTAATGACTACAATTGGTAAGTAATTACCCAGCACTGGTTTTCCGTACAATGAAAGTTAATGGGGTCCAAAGCAACTCTGCACCTGACTGACTTTCACTGTAAGGAAAAAACAACACTGAAACTTTTTTTATATATATATATATATATATCTTCTTTTGTGTTCCATACAGGTTTGAAACAACATGAGGGTGAGTATACAATGACAGAATTTTCACTTTTGGGTAAACTATCTGTGTATCTTGCCGTACAATGTGTGTCTGTCTTGTAGGTAATTGGCTCCATGTTACAGGGCAGGAGGTCATACACACGTTGCAGATCCAGCTCTCCAATTTTCTCCTGAATCTGGACACACAGAAATTCATTAATATAACCTCACTGGCTCTCTTTACAACATGCCCACACACAAACACACCTCCTTGAGGTCATCCTCCACAGCTTTTTCCCATGGTGTGGCCGTCATGGACCTCTCATTGTTATGAGAGCGCATATGTAGTGCGTGTGTAACAGCACTTTGTCTGACCCTCCGTGCATTCTTGATTCCTGTGACAATCCTGCATCTTATGGATCGGACATTCAAGCTGTAAACAGAAATAGTCACAATCTGCTGTGAATAAGTAATATCATGCTATATATCACCATATTGTGTGATCAAAGGCTGTTTATGTCAATGCAATCTAGGTCAAAAGAATCACACTCACAGACTGGTGCAGTCAATAGCGAGCTGAGCTGCCACCCTGCTGTGGTTGACATGGTCGCTGAAGACACCTCGCCTCCGTAGAGTCTCCGTCAGTTGCAGGGAGTGCAGAAATAGCTGCTCACAGATGTGCAGCACCTCACTGAATGTCTGGCAGTGCAGCTGCACTTTCTCTTCCTGGGTGAGTGTGGTGTCCACAGGCGGGGTTTTCAGGTCCTGCCAGATCAGACCCAGCTCAGAGATCAACACTGCAGTCTGAATGTCAAAAGCAAAAAGAAAAGGCATATATCATGTAAACTCATTCAGAAATCAATTCATACTTCTGAGAGTATTTTAAGTTTGCTATTGACTGCAAAAACATATACTGTACAACTCAAAATGTTTGATTTGGCTTTATATATATACATATATTCATGTTTTTGAATATATATATATATATGTAGCTGTAGTATGTATATACATATATATTTTTTCTAATAAATTGAAATGTCAAAATAAATGCTGTTCTTTTTAAAGTTTCCACAAAAAAATTAAGCAGCACAACTGTTTTCAACATTGATATTAATAAGAAATATTTCTTGAGCATCAAATCAGGATCAGAATGAGCTTTATTCACCAAGTGTGCGCAAACACACAAGGAATTTGTTGTGGTTTTTCAGGAGCTTTCGGTATATACATACATACATGCATACATATACGACACAAGAATAGAAGAATATTTAAATAAGACTAAGAAAAATATAATAATAATAATTCTTATTATTAATTATTATTAATCAGCATATTAGAATGATTTCTGAAGGACCATGTAACGCTCAAATGCAAAAATGTTATACAGTATCATTTTGACCTTCTAATTGTGTATTTATCTTCTATAGATCAAAAAACAACATGAGAACACCTAGGCATTTCTTTTTGCGGATTAGGAGAATCCAATCTAATGTAATAAAACACTTGATCTGTGTTATTGTACAAAAGGCTTCAGACGATGTTTGAAATATTTATTTAAAGCATCTGTCTGAGACTGACCAGAGACTGACAGTCTTCATGGTGGATGGGGTAACGCTGTGATTTCCGAGTGATTCTCTCCTCCAGCTGTTTGCACAACTGTGTCAAAGAGGTTGGAGTGCTTTTACCCTTCTTATAAGCTGAAGACTCTGATCTCACCTCCTTAGATCTGTCTGAGAATGAATTTATAAATCAGCAATATAATATTTATGTCAAAACTTCAAGAGTGAATTATCTAGCTTGGTAAAAAAAAACAAAGCACTAACCTGTCATCCTGTTAACACTGAGGTCCATGTGGCAGCATTTGGAGGTCCTCAGGAACCTGTGTGTGCTTGTTATTTCCCCAGTCATTCTCATAACAATGATGTTTAAGACTATGCAATACAGAAATGTCTTGCAGTCTTATGTATTAAGCTATTTAATTAAATCAGCTGTGCCTTAAAAGCCTACTCAAGCCAAATAATAATTAAAAAAAATGTTTTTTGCATTCATTCAGCAACATTTAAGGTGCAAAAAATAAAGTCCTAATAGGATGCGACAGTCTTTTCAAGTTGAAACCTGGTGCAAATCAACATCACCACACTTTAGTGAATGTGACCTGATTTATGTCACAACAGTACACAGAGTAAACTTTAAAAATAAAGTGCAGAGAATTTAAAAACACTGTTTTTACCTAGGCTATTGCGTACGATCATTTGAACATCAAAAGCAAGCCCTTTTTTAAAAAAATTATAATTATCGAATGCAATAAATCGACCGAATAGTTCCGTCTCCGCGCCGTAGTTCTAAAACAAGTCACGTTGCCCTGGAAACCCCGGCAGGTCACGCACGACGTCGTTGCGCAACTTTGGAATTGACGCCGCATTATGTAATGACATTATTAATAACTTTTTCACTTTGTGTTCATTTTAAACAGTCTTTAAATAAACTATTTAAAATAAAATATTTTTTAAAATTACATTAAGCCATAAAACTGAATGCAAAATAATAATAATAATAATAATAACAAAGCTGTTCAGTCTTGATAACAAAACAAAGTATACTAGTCTCATACGGTAATGCTAGTCTAACACATGGTGTACAGCTACAAATACCAAAAGTGACAGAATTCTAGTGAATAAATAAACGTCTAAATAACTCTATGGATACTAAATATGGTTGCCTCCTGTATTTATGTCAAATAGGATATTTGAAGAATGCTTATGGTTCAGAAAATTAATTTTCCCCCCAAATGTGATACAGACCATCAAATTTCACAATCAAAACAGTACAATCTAACCAATAAAAATAGGCTTTAACTGCCTTATTTAGTCTAATAAAATGCACTGACATTTTCTTAAGTGGGTTAGGGTTAGTGTTCAACAGTAACACAGACAGCGTAGATGGGTCACAGTGCATGTATAAAAAATGAAACACACACCACTTCCGTTTAAATTAGCCCCTGTCATCCGGAAGGGTGGTACCTGTTCAACTTCTGCAAATACGTCTTCTGTCGTCTCATGCCTGTAAAAAACAACAACATGGATATGAGCGAGTGCTCCTGGACAGCCGTGGTCAGTCGGTCCTCGGCCGTTTGATCTGCTGGAGCTGAAAGGACGTACCGACGCAGATCTAAACCTCACCTGGTCTATATGCGCCGTCAGGTAGACGCTGAACCGAGCCCGAGTCACCGTTTGGACACTTCTCACTTTTCAGTGCAGGTGAGTGATTTTAAATTCGCTAAACCCTTTGCAGCAGTCTCGGAGCGTGAAATCTTGAGGGTTATGTCGTATTAACTTGACTTCGGAAGCTTTAGGCGCGTGTTATTTACGGACAGGTGGGAATTAAACGGGCGTTTTGGCTACATTGTGGCTTCTTGAGTAACAGGCAATGTTTATGTGTATTTGCATGTTACTACATTTTAAAAAATTTGTCTATCTAACAATGCAACCCTCAATTCTTTGTATTTTGAAACCAATGTTTTTAAAAAAGTTCATTTTTTGCATACATTTGACCTCAATACTAAAATCTAAAAACAACTATTTAAGTAAATTTGAAATAAAATCAATTATATATATATTATAAAGAATTTAATAATGAAAATTATTATTTTATATTTAAATATCTGAAGAGGAATTGGGTGCTTAATGTCAGAATTCTAACAAATAACTAACTGTCGACATTATATAATAGAATTATCTTATTTGTTTTTAACTTTTTACCTTAATTTAACTTCAATGTTCAGTAAATCCTATATACCAATAATGCATCAAATAAATAAAATGGATGAAATGGATAAAATAAATAAATAAAAGTCCTGTTTTTCCAGAAGTTTCTCAAAACATAATTTATATGACTCTACGTAACCATTTTTAATGGGTGAAACAAAAATAAAAATAGCTTTTCTGGGGACCTTCACACATGCACAATGCCAACCCTTCACTATTAACAATATCATATGCATATGTTTGGAAAGTGATGAACTGAGTTTGTTACCTAAAGATAACTTGGTTAAAGGAACTAAATAAGAGAACACCAAACGTAATCGTTATTTAGGTACCCCACCTACTTCTCCATCGTAAAACCAAATCAAAAACACTTTAGCATTTGGTTAATATTGTTCCTCTTGTTGATTCATAATGAATTTAGTAGTATTTAGAACTTCCTTTATGGGAGTGCAATATCAAGATGGCATTTAAAACCAAGGGCCACCAAACTCGGTCCTGGAGGGCCAGTGTCTTGCAGAGTTTAGCTCCAACCCTAATCAAACACACCTGAACCAGCTAATCACGGTCTTACTAGGTATACTTGAAACTTCCAGGCAGGTGTGTTGAGGCAAGTTGGAGCTAAACACTGCAGGACACCAGCCCTCCAGGACCGAGTTTGGGGACCCCTGTTTAAAACTCATTGAAAAACTTACACAAAGTCTCTTGACTAACGTTTAATCAGAAGAAGTGACCTTGAAAGTTTCACAGCCTATTTTTCGTTTCTGTATAAGTCACAGCCGTCATGAAAACAACTTTAAAATGTCTTTTTAGTGCAGACAGCGCTAATGGTGGCATTCGCGCTTGGCCGTCATTGTGCTCCGTCATGTTGTCATTTATTTACAGAGGTAACATGACCTCAGTGCTACTAAGCTTTTTAAACTGAATACCCACATGCTTTCTATTTTTCCATGAGCACCTGCTTTGATAGCAGCTATTTAAGGACTTGGCAGAGGCCTGAAGGCTCACATCTCGTCACATTTGTCATTGTGCTGCTTTTGTGTTTTAGATTTATTCAATTGTGTGGCGTGATACTTTTAATGTTTGTTTTTTTTCCAGCCTCTCTTTGGCTAGACTTTGCAGATACAGCTTTTAATTATGTTCCTCTCTGATAGTTGCCAACCTCCAGACTAACATTGTCTGTCAACAATGTAACTATTCCTCTTTTTTGCCCCATTATGATAACAGCTGACCAAAAGAACAGTGTTCACCATTACTACTTCCTTTTCCAGCACCATGAGTGGTCAAGCACGGAGGATCCGTTTGAAGCCATGGCTGCTGGCACAGGTGAATTGTGATTTACTATGCACATTGTAATTTCAAAGAACTTTTCTAAAGAAAAGACTAAAAACAATCGACATTTAAAGAGATCATTCACCCACGATTGAAATTTTACTCGCCCTCATGACGTTCCAAGTGAAAGTGAATGATGACCATGTGCTGTCGAGCTGAATAAATGATCAAAAAGCACCATAAAAGCAGTTTTATGACCTTGATTATGCCACATGCATTGATTCTCACATCAGGATGACGAACCAAACCATGACACAGCATTTTTTAAATATGTGCATATGCAAATGATACTGAGTGCTTCATCAGATAGGAAGTTCTTCCGCGAATAACTTCTCACATCAGGATGACGAACCAAACCATGACACAGCATTTTTTTAAATATGTGCATATGCAAATGATACTGAGTGCTTCATCAGATAGGAAGTTCTTCCTCGAATAACGACTTGAATTTCAGTCTTTACCTCAGATGACCATCAGAATAATTGGAATATAGCACAAAGGTTGGATAGACTACTTTTATGATATTTTTAAGTTACTTTAAAGTTGTACATCTACCATTGCAGAATTTTTGTGGGTGAAATCCAGTGATTTCAACAGGAAACCACCCAATTGGGAATGTTGCATGAGGACTAAAGATTTTCCAACATAGATTTTTCGACGGGTTCAAGTTGGTCACTTGAATTTGCTGTGTTGACCAACAGAAAGCTGCTTGGTTTGAAAGTGACTGCTGTGTGAGTTGTGATTTATGTCGCTACACTTTAAAAAAAAAATAAAGTCAATTTTCTATTGTCCAATTGCCTTTTTTTCCTCTCTCTCTCATTAATGGAGCTTGAATAGCCTCTGGTCACTGTATACATTCAATGTAACAGAAGAAAGTGAGTTTATATAAAGATGAGTAAACAATGACAAAACTTGACTACAGTACAGAATAGTTTTAATCTTATCTGACTTCAGTAGTATAACCTTGTCAGATTTATTTCCGAACCTTCTAAGAAATGCATAAAAGCACACTGGAGATGTGTCAAACCCTGTTTTAAACCCTTGAATTGATCTTTACCTCTTCATCAATACTTCGATCTTCAAACAGAAAAATATCAGTGTCCAGTTGCCGTCTTGCTTTCATCCATGCAGCACCTCCAGATATCAGCATCTAAAATGGAAGCAAAACTAGTAGAGGAAATTCATTTGAAATCTGGACGTCCTAAGCTTGTTCTACATGCCTAAAGTAAACATTTCTCACCCTGCCAGATTAATAGTGGGAAATACCCCGGACTGCACTGGCTCAATCAAGAGCGCAGACTGTTCCGGATCCCATGGAGACATGCCACCCGCCATATGCCTACCCTGGAGGAGGAGAACACTGTATTTAAGGTGAGTAATATGGTATTTGAATCACCCATGCTGTTTTTGTAAAATGTTTTGTAAATATTGAAGTGGTATTTCCTTATATAATATCTTAAATTCAACATCAACCTAAGCCTCCTGTCTATTTTTCACTCTGTACTTATTCTGTTCTAAAGTTAGCACTAATGGGAATTTTTGGGGGTACTGAAATGCCTAGTAGTTTCACTCTTCAGTATTTATGTATTCAAATAACAGAAAATGATTGGAAAGCAAACCACTGTCCTCACATGCTCTTTTAAAATCAGTATTTTTGCAGTAAACTGAGCCATTGCATGTCTGTATTTACAAGATCTAGTGATGTGTTTAAGGTTCATCTTTTTAGTACTTTTGCAACCAACTTTGGAGAACTAAAAATGGAGTTTCAATTCCTCTTGACTTAACTGTGGCAATATTTTAAGAGGAAGTCAAGAAAAGCATAGAACCATGAGGTTAAAGACCTTGCGGATTCAAAATTAGTTTTAGAACTCCTTTGAGGCATTTTTAAGCAAGTGTACATTAACAGACTTCACATTTAGCAGATGTATGCTTTAAAATTGAGTTTTTCATTTTCAGAAAAATGCATCAAAAATATCGACGACTTATCCTGACGACTTATTTTTGTCCAATCAAATACTAG